CGCTATATTCCTCTCAGAAACTGGAACATTTAAATCTACTGAAACAATGTAACTTTGGTCTTCAGTTAAAATCTAAAAAAATATTAATTGACAATTATCAACACACACTCATATATTATATTTCGTTCCAGTGAAAAAGTTGAATTATTTACACTATCATATAAACCGTTGTTTGTAAAGTCAACAATAGCATAAGGTGAATTATTTTTACTAATTTTATAAAATGAAATATTTAATTTAATTAGACAGACGCATGTACATAATATAGAATTATGAAAATATTTCAATTACTACCACTAATAATAATAATAATAATAATAATAATAATAATAATATACTTACTGATATTGTAAATAAACAGGGTATGAATGTACAAGTTTAGGAATATAAACCATATAAAAGATCAAATAAGAAAGCAATGCAATAATCGCCAAAGATATAAGGGCAATGCTAATAAAAAGCGCTTTAATAGCAACCCTTTGTGATTTTTGCCTAGTTAATTTATTTTTTATATCAGTATCAAAGATTGACAAAAATGGGGATAAGAAGAAAGAAATAATCTATAGTAATAGGAATAAATGTTAATTAATATCATCAATATAAATTGACTAAAACTATTAATTTTATTATTAATTTTTTTACCTTTGTGAACATTTTGAGAACTTTTTTTATAACTTGTGGAAAAAAAACAAAAAAACGAACGTGTTTAAACAAATACAAGAGGTAGAATTGCTGCAATTTTGGGGGCGGCGCGTAATCTAAAACATCAAACGCTGCGCCACATGCACAAATTCAAAAAAATGGGGATAATATTTTGATTATGATGTCATAATCCTATGACACCAAAAAATTTATTATTATGGTGCAATATTTAGATCTTCAAGATTTGATAAAATACTTGACTGAAAAAAAAAAATAACAAAAAAAATAAGGAAAATATTATTAAAAAAAATATATTTTACATGGATTTTTTTAAAACTGATATTTGTAGATGGAAATGTGAGAATGTTATAAAATACTACAAAGAAAATAATATGGGACATACTGCAACAAAACCAGACAAAGTGAACATTATATTGCACACATTACAGGGATCAAAATTTAGTGTAATTGTGATAATATTAATATTAATATATTTTTTTAATTATAACCCTAACTTAATAAGCTTTTTTTGTTACACACTGAATTATATTAATATTAAAAAAAAGAAAATCCAATAAAAATTAAAAAAAAACATCATCAACTCATCAACCCCTTAACCACGAATATTTAGTACTAATTCAATATCTTCTTTTGACAGTGTTGCTCGCTTAGCATGAATTATACATAGTCGACTGATGATGATAATGGGGAAGAAGTTTTTTTTATTAATAGTAATATTGTTAATAGAATAAATAGAA